CTCGGTGGAGGCCGAGAAAGAGTTTTCTGCATCCAGACAGATTGTGGCTCCTGTGGCGGCCTGCATAAGACCACCAGAACATCCAACAAGCACCAACGAAACTACTCAAACAGACCAGCTGAACGAGGCAATAGCCCTCAGCCGGCAGGAGGCCGGGCGTATTCGCAGAGAGAAAGCTGCCCAAGCCACGGGTCTCGTTAGCGAATTGCGCCCGGATTTGACAGCAACACAGGCGCTGTTGGTGGAGAATGCCGCGGAAAAGGGCGTATCATCTTGGGTAACGGCGGAACCATCGTCCCAAATGCAGATGGTGCTGAACAAATCGGATTTCCGAGATGCGTTCTGCATCCGCTACGGCCTGCAGCCTGACGGACTCCCCCTGACTTGTGTATGTGGTGCTGCAAACACAATAGACCATGCGATGATGTGTCCGGCAGGGGGCTACCCCATGGCACGCCACAATGAGATCCGGGACTTGTTGGCTGACGTGATGCGTGAGGCGGTCCGGGATGTGGAGGTGGAACCGCCTCTACTACCATATGATGGTGAGCGGCTCCAAGGGAGGACAGCCAACCGCTCGGCAGGTGCCCGCCTGGACATCCGGGCTTGTGGCTTCTGGACGAGACAGCAAGATGCCTTTTTCGACATCCGGGTTACACACCCAAAGGCAAGCTTGCTGTCGCGTCAGGAAGTCATCAGCCAGCTCCGAACGCATGAACGGATGAAGAAGCGCCAGTACGGAGAGCGGGTGACAGCAGTTGACAGAGGTACGTTTACACCGCTAGTTTTTTCTACCTCGGGCATGATTGGCAGAGAATGTTCAATGGCACTGAAGACACTGGCATGCCTGATTGCTGAGAAGAACGTCGACCTACACGTATCGGTTATCATGGGTCAGCTCCGTTGTAAGCTGTCAGTCTGCCTTATGCGATGGGCAGTCACCTGTTTGCGTGGTTCAAGATCGTCATACCGCCGCAACAGGATGAATTTCACGACGATGTGCAGGTTGCGGGCAGCCTGAGCGTGATAGTACCTGACAGACATTTGCCCAACATTGCCCCATGATAATGAATTCTTGAGTTTTTGGACATTGTATTGCATTGCTGCTCCATCTACATGGCTGTATTTGTGTTTCACATCTCCATTTCAAGTAGTAGTAGTAGTAGTAGTAGTAGTAGTAGTAGTAGTAGTAGTAGTAGTAGTAGTAGTAGTAGTAGTAGTAGTAGTAGTAGTAGTAGTAGTAGTAGTAGTAGTAGTAGTAGTAGTAGTAGTAGTAGTAGTAGTAGTAGTAGTAGTAGTAGTAGTAGTAGTAGTAGTAGTAGTAGTAGTAGTAGTAGTAGTAGTAGTAGTAGTAGTAGTAGTAGTAGTAGTAGTAGTAGTAGTAGTAGTAGTAGTAGTAGTAGTAGTAGTAGTAGTAGTAGTAGTAGTAGTAGTAGTAGTAGTAGTAGTAGTAGTAGTAGTAGTAGTAGTAGTAGTAGTAGTAGTAGTAGTAGTAGTAGTAGTAGTAGTAGTAGTAGTAGTAGTAGTAGTAGTAGTAGTAGTAGTAGTAGTAGTAGTAGTAGTAGTAGTAGTAGTAGTAGTAGTAGTAGTAGTAGTAGTAGTAGTAGTAGTAGTAGTAGTAGTAGTAGTAGTAGTAGTAGTAGTAGTAGTAGTAGTAGTAGTAGTAGTAGTAGTAGTAGTAGTAGTAGTAGTAGTAGTAGTAGTAGTAGTAGTAGTAGTAGTAGTAGTAGTAGTAGTAGTAGTAGTAGTAGTAGTAGTAGTAGTAGTAGTAGTAGTAGTAGTAGTAGTAGTAGTAGTAGTAGTAGTAGTAGTAGTAGTAGTAGTAGTAGTAGTAGTAGTAGTAGTAGTAGTAGTAGTAGTAGTAGTAGTAGTAGTAGTAGTAGTAGTAGTAGTAGTAGTAGTAGTAGTAGTAGTAGTAGTAGTAGTAGTAGTAGTAGTAGTAGTAGTAGTAGTAGTAGTAGTAGTAGTAGTAGTAGTAGTAGTAGTAGTAGTAGTAGTAGTAGTAGTAGTAGTAGTAGTAGTAGTAGTAGTAGTAGTAGTAGTAGTAGTAGTAGTAGTAGTAGTAGTAGTAGTAGTAGTAGTAGTAGTAGTAGTAGTAGTAGTAGTAGTAGTAGTAGTAGTAGTAGTAGTAGTAGTAGTAGTAGTAGTAGTAGTAGTAGTAGTAGTAGTAGTAGTAGTAGTAGTAGTAGTAGTAGTAGTAGTAGTAGTAGTAGTAGTAGTAGTAGTAGTAGTAGTAGTAGTAGTAGTAGTAGTAGTAGTAGTAGTAGTAGTAGTAGTAGTAGTAGTAGTAGTAGTAGTAGTAGTAGTAGTAGTAGTAGTAGTAGTAGTAGTAGTAGTAGTAGTAGTAGTAGTAGTAGTAGTAGTAGTAGTAGTAGTAGTAGTAGTAGTAGTAGTAGTAGTAGTAGTAGTAGTAGTAGTAGTAGTAGTAGTAGTAGTAGTAGTAGTAGTAGTAGTAGTAGTAGTAGTAGTAGTAGTAGTAGTAGTAGTAGTAGTAGTAGTAGTAGTAGTAGTAGTAGTAGTAGTAGTAGTAGTAGTAGTAGTAGTAGTAGTAGTAGTAGTAGTAGTAGTAGTAGTAGTAGTAGTAGTAGTAGTAGTAGTAGTAGTAGTAGTAGTAGTAGTAGTAGTAGTAGTAGTAGTAGTAGTAGTAGTAGTAGTAGTAGTAGTAGTAGTAGTAGTAGTAGTAGTAGTAGTAGTAGTAGTAGTAGTAGTAGTAGTAGTAGTAGTAGTAGTAGTAGTAGTAGTAGTAGTAGTAGTAGTAGTAGTAGTAGTAGTAGTAGTAGTAGTAGTAGTAGTAGTAGTAGTAGTAGTAGTAGTAGTAGTAGTAGTAGTAGTAGTAGTAGTAGTAGTAGTAGTAGTAGTAGTAGTAGTAGTAGTAGTAGTAGTAGTAGTAGTAGTAGTAGTAGTAGTAGTAGTAGTAGTAGTAGTAGTAGTAGTAGTAGTAGTAGTAGTAGTAGTAGTAGTAGTAGTAGTAGTAGTAGTAGTAGTAGTAGTAGTAGTAGTAGTAGTAGTAGTAGTAGTAGTAGTAGTAGTAGTAGTAGTAGTAGTAGTAGTAGTAGTAGTAGTAGTAGTAGTAGTAGTAGTAGTAGTAGTAGTAGTAGTAGTAGTAGTAGTAGTAGTAGTAGTAGTAGTAGTAGTAGTAGTAGTAGTAGTAGTAGTAGTAGTAGTAGTAGTAGTAGTAGTAGTAGTAGTAGTAGTAGTAGTAGTAGTAGTAGTAGTAGTAGTAGTAGTAGTAGTAGTAGTAGTAGTAGTAGTAGTAGTAGTAGTAGTAGTAGTAGTAGTAGTAGTAGTAGTAGTAGTAGTAGTAGTAGTAGTAGTAGTAGTAGTAGTAGTAGTAGTAGTAGTAGTAGTAGTAGTAGTAGTAGTAGTAGTAGTAGTAGTAGTAGTAGTAGTAGTAGTAGTAGTAGTAGTAGTAGTAGTAGTAGTAGTAGTAGTAGTAGTAGTAGTAGTAGTAGTAGTAGTAGTAGTAGTAGTAGTAGTAGTAGTAGTAGTAGTAGTAGTAGTAGTAGTAGTAGTAGTAGTAGTAGTAGTAGTAGTAGTAGTAGTAGTAGTAGTAGTAGTAGTAGTAGTAGTAGTAGTAGTAGTAGTAGTAGTAGTACTTGGTCCGCCCAGTTAAAATTGGCGCTTATCTTCTCACTTGGTTTTTCGGTGTTCTGCCTGTGCCACACGGCATGGAACCACCGATTCACCATCCGAACATGACCATTGACCATTGCATCCGACGACATGGCAGCACAAACCATCACAGAAGTTGCGATCGGTTCGTTTGAGTCTTTTTGACGGAGCTGCCGCCAACGAACACTTCCGTCAGCGCAAGAAAACACTGCAACCTCCGCTCGAGTCCGTAAAATAGGTCAGAATGTTCGCATTTCAGAGCGATGGAGAATACAGTTTCTGTCTACTTCCAGCTGCCTGATGGCAAGGATTGTTCACCCCGGGGAGGTATAGAAAAGCTGAAAAAGCGCTTTGCCAGCTTAAAATTCAGTGCTTGCACAGTACAGCGCCTAGTGAAGGGCTATCACCAGCAAATCGCTGACGAAGAAACTGCAGCGCATGTCGATGTCTCCAGTAAGTGAGACCAATCCGGCGGACACACTTTGAAGCTCACAGAGGACAGGGCAAAGGAGCTAATCAAAGGAAACACCAAGTCCTGAGAGAAACACTCGTGCAAAGGACTTTCAGGAAACTAGCCGAAAAGCCTGGTGCACGGCGTTGTAGGTGCAGTACGCACAGGTGCTACATCAAGTGGAAGCTATCACTGCGCTGCATGTGCAAGCACCAGCGGCTCTTGTGGGTACGGGTGCTGATCAGCAAGTACGACAAGCGCAAGAGGCGATTTGAATAAAGGACACTGATATGGCGTTGCCTATTTGTCTCAAACAAAGTCGCATTATTGCGACGAACGGGGATAACACTTACAGTCAACATGCGGGCAGTCTCACTCAGCTTCTGATGGGAAGGTGACAGGCACGCACTGCCTTTGAGCGTGATTCGAGACGAGGAGAAGTGGAAAAAGCTAGGAAACGCCCCATGCAGCAGCTGTCCGGATCGTACGTTTTGAGCTCTTCCTCCAGCGACGATAGTGGCGAGGAGGATGTGTAACTTGCATGAATTTTCGACTGAGTTGCTTACTGACATGTATATAGTGCTTTGTGATCGTGGCTTGCTTCAAATATTCGTATTTCTTTCCTGAGACAAGTGTGAAGATAAGCCCCAATTTTAACTGGGCGGACCAAGTATTTATTTAACATCGAACAATTCAACAGTGTTGACACACAAATTAAAAGAGCGCCGATGAGGCAAAAAAGAACAAGAATAGTTAAAAGTTGAGGGTATGGACAATGTGAAGACCCAGTAAAGGTAAAGAGAATGAAGAAAATACATGGAGTGTGACTTGCACCAAGGAAAAAGAAGTCAATAAGGATATACAACGGTCACTAGAGTAATTTTACATGCAGAAATCATAAAAAAAGCTAGACAGGCAGATAGTGGTGGATACTTACCGTTTGTTGTAGCTGGTGCTTGATGCAGAATGTAAAAGCCAGCGATGGAGCACAAACACATTCACGCGTGAATTCAAACAAACACGCACGCACACGCACACGCGCACACACACGCACACACACACACACGCACACACACGCACACACACACACGCACACACATGCACACCCATAATTATGGTATAGACATGTAGACACGCACACACGCACACACACACACACACACAATAGAATTATTTTCTAACAATGCTTATGCACGTTGTATAGATGCAAAAAAATCCAGTAGAATTTTGTAGCATACATATATCTCAGAATCTTATAGAACCTGGCAGACCCGGTTGGGTGTTGAATGTGCAGGACCCTATTTTTGTTTACTGCTAATTCCACTAACAGGCACTGAAGGTAAACACCTCCTGGATCAGCCCGACCAGGGGGGGTTATACTCTTGGTAAAATGTGTTGGTCATTGAAACACTCTCGCAGGAACGTATTGATTGCGTAACGTATTTTCCGGAGTATAGTGCGCTCTTTAGATGTGCTATTTTAGGCCCTAAATCGCAGGTACGCACTATGCTCCGAATATGAAATGCATGTACTTCAATGAAGATTGAAGTGCGCACCCCCAATGAAGATTGGGGGTGCGCGTTATACTAAAGGTGAACACTATACTCTGAAAAATACGGTATGTTACGTAATTCCGTTCGAGTATTTTATTGCGCACGTTGTATTTTGTTCTTGTCTTGTAGAGTCCGATGTCTGATGTGGTAATTATATGGTCTAAGTGTATATGCGAGTATGGTGTGATGTGTGACACTTATGGTATGTAGTGCATGCAAGAGTACGTGATGTCAGAGTGTGAGAATCTGCTTCTGTCTGTGTGAGAGTGACTGTCAAGTGAATGCCGTGCATGCGCAGTGCTAGTTTTGGTCTGGGTGTGAGAGTCATGTGTGATTCGTCCGTGGTCTGGTTGTCTTGGTCTTGGTCATGTACTCTGTATGCATTGGTCGCTGAATGGTCATCCCGATTTGGCGTCACTTTATCACTGCTTGTTCTTTGTTCTTTCTTCGTGTCTTCTCCCTTCGCCTTTTTGTTTGGGTCTTGCATTTCCTTTCTCCTCCTGCGCCCTCGTCGTTTACTGTCAATATAAGAAATGATATCATGGAAGGAGACGCACAATCAAGAGTTTTCGTTGCTGTACGGCGGGGGCATGGGGAGAAGGAAACAACACACCAGTAGTGGTTCACCTATGCTTATACTGCAGATATTGATGAATGCGCTAGGCCCACGAGCGGCAACTGCAGCCTAGCATCAACGTCATGCTTCAACACTCCCGGCTCCTTCGCGTGCTGTAGTCCTGGCTACCAACCATTCCAATCAGCTTGCGCCAGTAAGTAGCTACAGTCCATTCATTGGAAACTGGCACCCTAAGGGCCGGGTTCCACTGCGGCTCCGCTGCTCCGCTGCTCGTCTTTCACGGCTTGAAACGTCATCATTACCATAGTGACCGCGGCTCGAGGTGGAGCAGCGAGTCCGCGGCTCACCGCGAGCTTTTGCTACGATTCTTCACCAAAAACTGCGAGCCGCGGTCGCGGCTCGACCTGTTTCCCGTACCTTGCATTGTTTTGTACGCCAGAATTTTAAAATTCAAATTTTAATTCGTTGCGCAGGCCAGAACACGAGGTGAAACGTCATCAAAAAGTGTGGAGCAAGACCACAGTACCGCGAATGGCGAGTGTCAGTGGAACCGCGCTGCTCCGCTGCATGCAGCCAAGTGCCGCGGAGCAGCGGAGCCGCGGAGCCGCAGTGGAACCCGGCCCTAAGGGCCTGGTCAGACTGCGGCAAATTTTGGTTGCCTGACGAAAACAGGAAAGCGTCCAGAATTTGAATCGCGATCACACTACACATGTGAGGAGAATGAAAATTCAAACTTCATTTCGAGCGTCAAGTGGTAATCTCCACGAACGACGTCAAATTCTTTCACCTTGGGGATCGCCAACACCTTCAGTGCAATCCTTGCAACCATCCTTAATAAAAAAAGTTTTGTTGTGGTCCGTAGCCAATTAGCAACTCGATATCGAGATGAAAAAATCAGTGATTATCAGCGTCAATGGCGTATCAGCGCCAAATCCTGTTTGGAGCGGAAAAGCGTGGTCCGTTCTCGCTTTTTTTTGGAGCGTCAACTCTCGCTTTTGCCGCTCTGGCGGCAAGTTACTATGGAGAATCGGATTATAATCCCAGGATTATTTCGATTTTGCCGCAGTCTGACCAGGCCCTAACCTTTTGGTGTCTCTCTCACGTAGTTGTAGATATCGTGAAAACAACAGTACATCCTGCATTGTGTGACCCGTGCAATTACTCCTTGCCACATTTGAGGCCAGAAAAGTCCAAGAACAGGGAAATAGAAATTCAGCCAGGTTTTACAAAATTCGGACAGGTATGCCATGGCAAAATGTATGGAGAAGCAGATCCAAAACCCAAATGTTTGAGATTTAAAGTGAGTTTTTGATCCTCAATTCGACCCAAATCCGACTTTCAAAAGCCAGCGGGACAGTTTCCGATGAATGGACTGTAGTACCCTTGGACATCTCTTATCCGGGCACCTTGGAACTGGGCACTGCCCTATATCAGATTTTCCTGCACGTCAGGATAATCCTACCTGCCGTGCATCATACTACTGCAAGCTTTGATGAAGTTGGCATGTACTGCACTTGTCCCAGATTTAAAAAAGAATCCATCGATTTTGAATGTGTGAACTGCAGAGATTGGCAAGGACAAGACATTTAAAAAGGAGCATGTGCATGCACGCCATCGAGGAAAAAGTAGAGAACAATGCACTTTTTGTCATAGCAACTCAAGTTGAAGGTGGCAGGTGCAGAGACTTGCCCACATCTGAGAAGTGCGGATAAGAGATGTATGAGTGTAATTAACTGGGGAAATTGTCACGGTGCGAGGTGAATAGCAATTTCTGGACATGAAAATAAAATAGAGGCCCACTGGCTGTGTGTTTTACATTTTTCATATCTTTTTGTACCTATTGTATGGCCTAATCCTCCATCTTTCCAAATATGTGACAATTGCTCATGCTGTGATCCCAGAGACTGTATAGCAGGATGTTTTCGACAGGCCAATTTTTTGGCCTAAAATTCAGTGTATGGAATTCTGGACATGAGAGTAAAATAGCGTCAATAGGCATCCTATACTGCACCATTTTTGTTATTTTTTCTATTGGTGGACTGCAGTTGGCCTCTCCACACTTCCAGCCAGCAGGTCCAAGACTATACAGCATCTGAAGTGGAGTGCACATGGGGAAGCCAACGATTCGTCCATTACTTCTTATTTTACTCAAAATTCTCTTGCGACATAGTACCACAAAACTCGTTGAAATGCCTCCCAAGAAAAGGCTATCGACAAGGCACCGACACGAGGAGAAACTACAACAGCCCAGCTGTCAACTACAACAAGAAAAAAGTTCATCAACCTGACTGACTTGACTCTACACGCGACGAAAAATTATTTTACTCGAAATGTCCAGAAATGTACAATGTCCAGAAATAGCAATTCACCTCGTAGTGCTTCCCAAACCTACCTGCTGAATTAACGTATTGTCCGGGTGTAATAATAATTTCACGGACTGCGTGAGACTCTGCTGGGAAGCCGAGTTTTCCGGGCATAGCAGCTTCATTAGTACTATAATTCCCGTAGCTATGCAGAAGACATTACTTCAGTAACGTCTGGCGCTAGCCAGGGTCCACACAGCTTTAATTTGGTGTTTGTTTGTTTGTGTGTTTGTGTCACGCCTGGCGCTATCCCGTATCTGTCCCGTACCGTACCGTACCATCAAACACAGCTGGCCACATACAGCTGGCCGCACTATTCAAATAGGGCTTTCAAATGCAAGATCATAACGTGAAACAACTTGGAAGAATGAGTATGGATGCGAAGTGTATGGGGGAGTGCATGTAGGGCGATAGTGCGGGTTCGAATACCAGGTAATGGCTAAAAAAAAATAGGAAAATTGAAAAATTTATAACATCCCTATTCTTGTTTTGCGGTGTATGGTGTCGTATTACCCTCGGCTGACCACAATGCATATTCAAATAGGGCTTTCAAATACAAGATCATAACGTGAAACAGCCTTAGATAGATATTCTGAATCTTACGCTGAAAGCACGCTTTCAGTGCCATAGTACCCTGCGAAAGCAGCGGGCAGCGACGGTGTCCCAGGATTTCTCCTGAAGTCCTGTGCTGAGGTCCTCACACCATCTGTCACCACACTCTTCAACCTGTCACTGCAATCTGGTGCAGTGACTGTCGGTTTCAAGTTGGCGGCTGTAAGCCCGCTGTTTAAGTCTGGGGATCCGTCTCAGCCGACAAACTATAGACCGGTGTCGCTACTTCCGATTTTGTCAAAATTGCTGGAAAAGCTGGTCCAGCGGCAGCTTGTACGGCACCTCGACCACACCGACGCTATCCCGGAAACTCAGTTTGCATTTCGCCGGCAGCACTCGACGGGTGATGCACTAGCCTTACTGGTTGATCAGTTGCAAATGGCTCGAGATAAGAAGGACTCCTCTGGAGTGTGCTTCCTTGACATATCGAAGGCCAAAGTGCGGCATGAAATTATGATCCAGGACTGTTTTGAAATTGGAGTTGGGGGTACGGTGATGAAATGGCTCGTTAGCTACCTTACAAACCGGACACGACAAGTCCGCATCAGTTGCAAACTGAGCAACATCACAGTATGCACAAGAGGAGTACCCCAAGGATCTGTATTGGGGCCCATCTTGTTCAATATCTACACCCGAGTGGTAGCTGCAGTAGCTCAACCGACCCCTAGTAGACTGTTTGCTGACGATATTGCACTATACCAAAGTGGTTCCAACACGGCAACTATTTCACTGGGACTCTCATCATCCGTCACTGCGCTGGCCGACTGGCTCGAAAACCGCGGCCCGATATTGAATGAACGCAGAAGTCAAGTTCTGTCCATCTGTGGTAGGGATGCGCCAACCAGCATCG